ATTCTCGCTGACTGCGCGACAACTCCCCCCCCAATCCCAACAAATACATCTTAAGTCTTAGAAGGACATTTTAACACATTTCTAAAGTGGTCATTTGTTTCCAGGGGATTTACAAAATGCTTTTCAGGTGTCCCTCTTAAAAGTGGGCGCGTGTCTGGATCAGCATTACGTTATCAAATAGTTGCCAAAATTTCTTTAAGTTTATCCAGAGACCAATACCGCTATATCTCTTGTGACTAGACGTAACAGAACATGTGAAATATTGACATGAGACAACACGCTACTCTGAGCTTTGTCATACAACAATTCTACGTGAGACACATTAATGGCCGATGTGAGAGACATTGAAACGTTAAATACTGACTCTGCAGGGTGTCGTCCTCCCTGGACACCCCAGATTGTGTACAGTACTTGGCACAAAGCTTAGCTATGTTACATTATCTACAGAACTTCCATATTGTCATCTGAGCGAGCCTTTTACACTTGGAGGACGTCAAAAACCATACATGTATACTGGAAACAAGAAATATTGGGACATGATGATGTTACATTTGCTCCAAACAATGCGACACATTTTACTGACATTAAAGAAGGTTTTACTACTTGATGGTTCACTCCTCTCTTTGAGATACGTATGGAAAACGCCCTTAAAACACTGGAAGGGACATCTCTACTACAGCACATTTCATGCTGTTTTCAGGGAGTGACACACATTGTGCTTAACGAGTAGGTTGTTGGGGGAAAAAATGGACTTCCGTTTTAGGCGACTTTTTTAGAGTGTGAACCTTCATCTTGTAGTACACATATCTCTTGCTGCGTGAAGCAAGGTGGAAAAGGAGGAGAACAAAAGAGGGGCGGAAAGGGGGGGGGGGGGGGGGGAAGGATTTCACCACATTCCCTAATCTGTCGTCTTAGCGGTCCTCTTCCAAGTCCTCTCCCCGCCAGGCTGTCCCTTCCCCAAATGTTACACAGTTTAAATACGATGGAACTGCTTTTCCTATGAGGGCTCTTCGTCTTTAAAAAGTTGGAGAACTACAAAGTAAAACCTTTCCCCTGACAGTATTCACTCCTTGAGAGCTCAGCAAAGTTTACTCATTGCAGTGCGGGTAACGTAATTAGTTGCACAAAGGAACTTTAGTTCACTACCGTGGCACTCGCTACCTGCATGCTTGACAATAAAATAACATAATAGATATCTCATGGTTGTTCAGCTATTACAGTCTGTAGAACAGCAGCACGACAACATTGTAGTACTTTTGTGATCCCTGGACTTTTGGACTCCCTCTTTCCGGTCATCGTTCATGGCAGAGGCAGCGCCAGATCTCAACAGTAAATACACAAGCATGTTCTGCACAGACCAGAGGGAAAAATACAATTTACCATAGCTTAAAGACCCTACAATAGACTTCTGTAAGTCATCGTTGATGTTTCAACTAAAATGGATTTTTAAAACATATGATTAAATGGAAATATGTGACCTCATAAAGTTGGGACACAAATTAGTTTCCATAAATTCTGTAAACTAAAGTTTAACCAAAGGAGTAAAAACTGTTCATACAGTACGTAAGAACAATTTTTTAAACCGAGGATAAAGTGTCAAATTAATCCAGTTTATTCACATCACGTAAATAATTCGTATTTTAAGAAAGATTATGATATTGAAATTATAAAAAAGGAACTTTATGCTCCCTTGTACAAATTCTGTAATATTGAGATCAAAGTTGGTGATGTTTAAGTCGAAAGATACGGAATAATAACAGTGAGGCAGGATATTGTGTGGTAAACTTGCGGCTGGAGCTATTGTGGGCAGAACATTCACGTTAGACGAAAAGAGATTATAATAGAAATAAAAGAGAGAATGCCGAAAAAAGAAAGAAGAAGAGCATAATAACCAAGGAGGAAAGAGCAGGACATAAGACGAGTTAGAGGAAGAAAACTTCTGGGAAAAGGAATAAGAACACGACTTTCCGCAGTTATCATTATAAACAAACAAACATACAAGCAAACAAACATCTGGCCTCAAAAGATTCAAACTTGTGCCTCCTGTTGCCGGGCCCGGGGATAAAACGTCTGAAGAACAAAGCATTAAGGAATATGATGAGGGGTGACAACAGGTCAATCCAATCTTTCCACTCCGTCGTCTCCGCGAAGTAACATGAACACATAACGCGGTGAACACATCAACGACATTATCACATTGAATGGTATCTAACAGTGCTCAGCATACAGCTATGTCTCTTGAAAGAAGAAAATTACGCTCCCTCGAATGCACTTTCGTCTGTGTATGTAATACTATGCATCACAAAATACAAAAAAAACATACTGGATTAGTATTTGAGAAACCCCAAAACATAAGTTATAATCAACAACAAACATCATTGTCCGTTTTGAACAAATCACAAAAACTTGTGAAAGAAGGGTGTACAAATGCATAAAATTAATGCAATGCTGTAACACGAATTTTGAAAGGTCTCCTTTCATTGTTTTTCTTTGATCACATTAAACTATTTAAACAATCTCATTCACTCCTGTTATGCAAAATGTAAGTCACAAAAGAACAGTTTCACAATACCAATAATCGATACTCAAATATTTCGAAAGTTTTCAATAGTAATCGCTTCATTGTCTCAAGTCACAGTTGAAGAGACAACTTCACCCAAACGGGTGCCCTGTATAGAACTTATCCCCTCTCCCTTTCGTGTATCGAAACCTATGCATGTAGGCGAGATGTGATGCTACCACCTGCTGGCGTGTTCAAGCACTCGGCGCCACACACACATGAAGCCACAAACCTCCACTTTGTTTTGTTTGTTTGTTTGTTTGTTTTGTCCAATTCCGGGTGTTGCAGGAAATAGAAAGCGCAAAACATGCCACTCCCTTCTCATTCCGCAGGTTCGACACAATGACAGCGGCTGGTCGGGAGATCTCTCACCTAGCTCCTGTGAGTTGGCTCCGATACGCGAAAGAGAAACTAAACGAAAATTCAGCTGAACCGAACAAGATAGTTACAGTATCTAACTTTAAAGTTTGAAAAATGTCTTTCAGGTTTTTTACTCTTCGATTTTATTTTGCTGATTTTAGGGAGCAATGTATCTGGCACACAAAAAGAAGGCGAACAATTAAATACACATAACTTTTCTTTGAGAAACGAATCAACATATTTTATCAACGTTGGTGGGGGCCACAATGTTTTATCAAAGCTGGTGGGGGCATATCTAATAATGCACATTGATTGTCCAGTAACGCTATATTTCGGGG